GGGGATAGCTGGCAAATTCAGGCCCTTGGTAGCCGACGGCTTCCTCATCTGCTTCAGTTTGTCAATGCGAAGGTTTTCCAGCTTGTGCAGGGCCATGAGGCCTGAGGTGCCCATGGGCTCACCGGGCACATCCTCCAGCGTAGACAGATCCTCGTAGCTGCCACCAGCGTTGCCCGCCATCTCCACCCCACTGTCATTGTTAGTGGTGCTGCCGAGGGGGGAATGGCCGCTGATGCACGACGACTGCTTCTGGGGGGTACCCAAAAACATCAACCAAGGAAAAGGGGGTCAGGTATCCACTACACCCAGCACACCCTGCCCGACGCGGAGAGGCGACCGCCCTCCCCTGCCAACACCCCAGCTCCTTACCAAGGCCAAGTCAGGCACCAAGAGTTTGCCATCATCCTTCTGGGCCTCAGCAGGGCCATTTGTGTCTTTCTCCTGCTTCATGTCTGGGGGGCCACTGGGGGTGGGCAGTGCACGACCCGGCATCACATCCCCTCGGTGTTTCTTGGTGACGTGGGCATCGGGGCCATGCACCGTCTTCACGTGCTTGCGCAGCGAACTGGGGTCTGTGTAGCGCTTGGTGCAGCCTGGAATCTTGCACACATAAGGCTTCTGCCGGGGCACCGCGGAAGGAAGGTGTTAGCTTGGACCAGAGACCCCTCCTAACAGAGCAGGAGCTGGGCATGAAATAAGTACCCTTCCCAACCCTCTGCAGCAGGCCCAAGAGATGAGGGTAGGAAGGCATCCAAGAGGCTGAGTCCCCTTTGGACGGGGGATGTTAGGTGCTATAGCGGGGTCTTGGAGGAGGTCATAGGGAGCTGATGAAGAACACAAGGACAGTGCTCCTCAGGAGGGGTTGAAGGGACCCTAGTGGGAATGCAAGTGATGGAGGAAAGGAACAGGGCCCATCCTTTATCAGAACATGCACGGAGCTGGGGCACACAGGGACCTTTCAGAGTACAGGACTACTGAGGAGGCACATGGGGAGCCCAAAGGGGTGCAGAGGGCCCCGGGTAGGTCAGTACCTCATTGGAGTGAGTGCGGTTTTGATGCTTGGCCCGGTCGGAAGCATTGGAGAAGGCCTTGTTGCAGCCCTCGTGTTCACACACGTAGGGTTTTTCCCCCGTGTGTGAGCGCAGGTGGGTCTTGAGGTTCTCCAGGCGTGAGTAGGCTTTGTTACAGCCCTCGAACTGTGCAGGCAAATAGGGTGAAACATGCCACACGCCATCAACAGACCCTGTACTGCATCACCCCACATGCGCCAGGGACACTATCGCACCTCCCAGCCACAGCACAACGCATCTGCCCTCCTTCGTGTGCATGTCCTGCACCGCTGCATGGCCCTTTACCCTCCTGGCTATGCCATGCCCCTCACCATGCACTGCCCAGCCAGCTGTGCTGTAGCCAGCCTGCTCTGTACCTCTTTACCTCGTGTGCACATCACGCATGAACTCCACCCCATCACAGAACCATAGAATAGGTTTGGGTTGGAAAGGACCTTAAGGTCATCCAGTTCCAACCCCCTCCCATGGGCAGGGACACCTCACACTAGACCATGTCACCCAAGGCTCTGTCCAGCCTGGCCTTGAACACTGCCAGGGATGGAGCATTCACCACTTCCATGGGCACCCTGTTCGAGTGCCTCCCCACCCTCACAGTAAAGAACTTCTTCCTCCTATCCAACCTTATGCCCTCCTGTGCTCATGCCCCCCCTCATTTTCCCCACATGCCATCTCCCCATCAATGCCACAACCCAGGCCAGCTCCCACCCTGCCCTGAGCTGTGCCAAGTGCAAGGCACCACAGCCCAGCCGGGGCTCCGCAAAGGCCCAGGCCAGCTCACCGTGCACTTGTGAGGCTTCTCGCCCGTGTGTCGCCGCATGTGCACCACCAACATGTACTGAGCCTTGAAGGGTCTCTGCTCCCGGGAACATGCTGCCCAGTGGCACACAAACTCCTTCTTTTCCCCGTGGATATGCTCATTGTTGATGTGCTGTGGAGAGAGGGGCATCGTTGGTGGCATTGGGGAAAGCACCGAAGGTTCAGGGAGATACAGGTGTCTTCATGGAATATGATGAAAGAAATGGACATAGAGGGACTGGGATGGTGGCTGGAGACACCAGGGGTTAGGTGAAAACGGGGTACTCAGATGACATCTACAGGAGGCAATGGATACAGGAGGTGGCTGGGGGCTACTCTAGGAGGACCAAGAGAAGACACAGGGGTCAAGGTGGCCTGAGGTGTGGTGAAGGGGATACAGGATAGTTGTAATGTCTGCACGGAGACAAAGAGCAAAGGAGGAAGCTTAGATGCATCAGTGGTTCATGAGAGCTGCCCCAGGCGTGAGGAAGGCTGGACAGGATGTTCCCCTGAGGGACATGGTATGGGAGGCTCACGGGGAATTTGCCCACAAGAAGGGGAGGACGCGGGTCCCTCCCTTCCTGGGGGCGACTTCCAACATCGTGCAACAGTGTGGTGAGTTCTCCAGGTAGGGAGGGGAGCAGCCCAGTATGGGACAGGAGGAGCTGCGGATGGAGGTGGATGACACCCAGAAGCCTGAGGGCACCTTCTGGGCCTGCATGTACCCGGTCAGGACCTAACTCACATGCACGAGCTGCTCCTGCGTGTCAAACTCCTTGGCACAGCCGTCCCAGTAGCAATTGGTTTCATACACAGTCTCCGACTCAGGTTTCCCATCCTCCTTCTCCAGATCTTCCCGAGCATCCAGCATCCCCAGCAAGGGGTCCTGGAGGAGCAGAGCCAGGTGAGCACCCCGAGCTACACGCTCCTGTTACTGGGAGTGGTGCCAGGGAGGAGCATAGAGCCCCGGGGAAGTGGGGGTGGGTCTCAAGGCCTGGGGGGTACCTGGGTGCCTGTGGAAGCTGGGCTGGAGATGTCCCCCTCGGATCTCTCCTCTGGGTATTTGACAGTCAGAGGGCTGCTCAGGCTCCACTCCAACTTTAGCTGCTACCAGGGTGGGAGGAAAGCAGTCAGCACTGAGATGCTCATGGACCACCGCTGACAGGGGTGCAAGGGCCCCTTACCTGGCAGTGTTTGAGGGTCCCACGAGCTGGGGTGTGCTGCAGGAGCCCTGGGCGGGTGGACAGGGGTTCGTGGGAGCTACATGGTGGTGGTGGTGCTACTGTGTGGCTGTACAGGTGGCCTTGGCCCTTCTGCTGAGCCGGTGGACTCTGATATCCCAGTGACGGACTGCATAGAGCAAGAGGGATGAGCAGATGACACCATCAGAGCACAGAACTTTAGGTCTTCTAAGCCAGAGATCCCAGGTTCCCCAACCTATCGTCCCACTTCGCTCCCACCTTCCCTAACCCTCACCCTCGGGCATTCCCCAAGCTGGGAATTGGCATCCAGGCTCCCAGACTGAGAGGCTGCATGCATGGTGCCCACCTGATGGTGCTGATGGAGAGGTGGCCATAGGAGCCACTGGCAGAGGCACAGCGGGAGTTGATGAAGGCAACAAGGGAGTTGGGTGAGGTGCGGATGACTGTCTGCAGGTCAATGCTGGAGTCTGACAGGGGTGAGATGGACAGTGCCCGCTTCTTGCCCAGCTTGCCTGCAGCGCGGGGCGTTGAGAACCGTGAGCCTGGGATGGCAGCAAAGAGCAGGGGGTGCTCCTCTCAGCATGGCTCCTAGGAGGCTGGAGAAACCCCCAAGGACACAATCCCGGCGCACTGGAGCCTAACGGAGTACCCCGACTGTGCCAGAATGGAATGGAATATTTCAATTGGAAGGGACTACAATAATCATCTAGTCCAATTTGGGGCTGACCAAAAGTTAAAGCATGTTATTAAGGGCTTTGTCCAAATAACTCTTAAATGCTGACAGGCTTGGGGCATCAGCCACCTCTCAGGGAAGCCTGTTCCAGGGTTTGACCAGCCTCGCAGTAAAGACATGCTTCCTCATGTTCAGTCTAAACCTCCCCTGGCGCAGCTCGGAAGAATTCCTATGTGTCCTATCACTGGATCCCAGGGAGACAAGCTCAGCACCTCCCTCTCCACATCCCCTCCTGGGAATAAGGTCGCCCCTCAGCCTCCTTCTCTCCAAACTAGACAAACTCGTTGCTGGTTTTGGACTGTGGCAAGACTCGGAAGTGTCCCCCTTCCCCACCACGGCCATGGGTACCAGAACCCTTTGACACACACGTACTCCCTACTACAGCTGATAGCACCTCAAGAAAAGTGCCTGATAACCTTGGCCACAGCCAACACAAATCCCCCTGTTCACGCAGGCACCACTGTTACAGGAAAGACACCTGAAGGCCCATCAGTCTCTTCCCTCATCACAGGCTTCACCATCACCAGCGCTGCCTGGCCCCCTCAGTACAAACCCTGCACTCCTGACACAATCAAGGGGGTGCCTAAACCCCCTGCAGAAGCCCATGCCCGCCCAAGGCACTTACTTACCATCACCACTGCCCAGGTGCTCGGCTCCTGGCACCAACCCATAACCACGATGACCGCTCATGAGGTTTGACTGATGGCACAAGGGGAAATCGAGTCCTGGCAGGGGCAGGGAGAAAGATGGGAAGAGCATAAGGGCGGGTGGCGCAAGGGCGAAGGAAGTTCCCCGAGTACCCCTGAACCTAAGCACTGAATCTAAAGCTGGGTGCTCCTCGTGCCGTGCCAGGCACTGCTCAGGTGCCAGGATGAGGGGGGCTACAACCGACCTTGTGGCCCCGGGGCACCTGGAGCTATTCCATGGGGTGGGCGCAGGCAGCAGCGCTCAGCACAGCCGCCGCCCGG